GGATCTATTAAAATTAACCAAAGACACAGGACTATTCCTAAGATAGTACCTGAATACGGGGAAAGCAGGGGAATACAATAAACCCAAGAGGCCGCAGTGTTCTGGATCAAACCTAACCCTACCTGCTTACAACCTATAAAGATAAAAAAAGGTAGGACTTTTTTTAATTTTTATTTTTCATGACACAACAATATCATTAACATTAAAATACGTGTTCCCCACTCGACCATTCACTGTTGGGTTCTAATTAACAGTGCTGTTCCTAAAGTGGCGCTGGAAAACAGTAACAAAGCCTACACAGAACCTTAGCAGTCGATGCCGATGACACCAAATTAAAAAAAAAACAAATGTGATTAAAATACATGTAGTACATAGTGGTAGTTGTATTTGAGAACTCCAACACAATGCAGGAATCAAAAATCACATATACATATAACATAAAGTTGCCTGATTATGATGTATACAGAAACGACCACCAAGCAATGTCTGGTGGCACAGCAATTCTGCTGATTTACATACAATGAAAGCTACAACTATTAAGGTTAGAATACTGCATTGAGTTCTAAGAATAGTTTCAGTCTATGTAAGACCTACTTTAGTTACGGACAGGGGTGATATAGACGCTGTTCTGCCTCAGGAGAAGCAGGGAAAAATATTGTTTAACATGGCAAACAAAACTATGTCAGTAACATTTATTAAACCGTAAGAGTTGAAAAATTTTGTTTAATATACTTTTAATAATAACGTTAGTTTAACTTACATAAAAGTCGCCATAAAACCGTTATTGTATCGGAAAATTAAATATTTGGTTTATATTTTTAACTAAAAATAAACGTTATTTTAATATTAGTTAAATAACAATATTTTTAATATTTTTTAAAGTTGTTATGTAACGGAAAGTTATAAAATTTTGTTAGTTAAAAAATCTTAGTTTACACTGTTAACCTCTTTGTATAATCATCGGTTATTTTTAACATAATTTTAAAAATGACATTTGTACTTTAAATAAAACTAGTTAAAAATTTTCCTGTTAGCTAAACTCTTGGTATTTTTTTAACGTTGCATTGCATTTGTTATTCTACCGAAATTAAATATACCTGTATTTATAATTAATTACTTAATATATTTACGTGATTTTGGTTTCAATTTTACTATATCGTTAAAAAAACTACCACATTTTTAAGGTGATTACAGCACCCCCTTATAATTTTGGCACAAGGATATCTCAAAAAGTAATTTTTTTAGAAATATTAAATTTGGGCAAAATAAATTAGGCAATAATATCTAGAATATGCATATTTTTTAAAGTTTTAATTCTTTTCAGTTTCCGAGAAAAAAATCAAAGGGCGTTAAATTTTGAAATATCATAATGAAAATAAATGCATTCCTCAACAGCACTATTCCTAATATAATCCCCAAATTTAAGCTCCTAATCTCTTGTTAATGATTTTTTAAAATTCGCCGAAATTAGTGGCTAAAACGCCTCGTTAAGTGCTTTTTTCTAGTGTAACGCGTCTGTAACTATCGTATCATACACTCTGAGTCATCATTCATTTCTTGCAACGACTTACACAAGTTTACACCAGTTTAAACCAGAAAATAGCACTTAACAAGGCGTTTTAGCCACTAATTTCGGCGAATTTTAAAAAATCATTTACAAGAGATTAAGAGCTTAAATTTGGGGATTATATTAAGAATAGTGCTGTTGAGGAATGCATTTATTTTCATTATGATATTTCAAAATTTAAAGCCCTTTGATTTTTTTTCTCGGAAACTGGAAGAAATTAAAATTTTAAAATATATGCATATTTTAGATATTATTGCCTAATATATTTTACCAAAATTGTAGTTTTTTAAAAAAATTACTTTTTGAGATATCCTTGTCCGAAAATTATAAGGGGGTGCAGTAATCACCTTAATAAAGCAGAACATTTCATTCGTATAAAAATTATTTTACCAAAAGTATTCATTTGTATTTTAATCTGTAGGGAGATAACTTTAGAGGAACCGCCCGAACGTTAACGACTTAGACGTCAACTGATACGTCATCGTCACGTTAATTCACCCGACCATCTCAAAATTAATTAATTCTTATCTCCCGTCGGTCTCTCAACATCTCCCTATAAATTTTCTCGAGTCATAAGGCGCCCAATGCAGGAGAAAAGCCTGAAAAAAAAAAGTAAATCGGACGGGAGCAATGACGTGAAAAGGGACACGAGCAACGGCAGATAGATATCTGGCAAGACAGACACAGATAACACAAATCTACTGTCACTGTGATCGATGAAGGCGGTGACTGGATAAATGTGTGCTAAACAAAAAGCAAGTAGTCGATATTTGCCGTGAAAGGAGCAATTGTTTATGTTTGCTTTGGTTGTTTCTTGAGATTTGTGTTCAAGTGGAATCAGTTTCTCAAGACTTATCGATTTCGTAACAATGTATGTACGGGCCGGAATTTGCTTTGAGAATCCGCATAGAGTATATTTATTCTAGAAGCTTTAGATTATTTAGTTTCAGATGAATTTTTACAATTCTTACAAGAGACACTGACAAAAAATGTACTCTTTATGACTTTATGTTTAAAATGGCTTACATATAACCCAGCCGCTTAAAAGTATAATTTTATAATTTTTCTCAATTTTTTTCTCGTCATCGTTAACTGTTATTTCTATATTAGTTTGGTTCTACTGGTAAAAGCGCTTTAAAAGAAAAGGTTTTGTCGTTTTTTTCTACATATTTAAAACTGTTTTTATGAGACACTTTTTTAAACATTCAATCATTTTTTTTAACGATTACAATATAACACATATGTAATACATAAGTGGTAGGTTAGGTTAGGTTGAAAATGAGTGGGATGATCTCATCGCCCTCCACTGCGACCCAGATGGGTCTATTGTGGCTCATAACTAACTTATAGTTCACCGTACAAACCACACCTTTTGATGAAGGTCATGGTTGAATTGGGTGAGACTTCTCTAAAGTCGGTAGGCTCCAGTCGGGTAAATCTGAAGATCTGGAACCTGGTTCTTTCCAGAGCGAAGCAGGTACATAGAATGTGCTCTGCAGACTCGTCCTCCACGCTGCAGAATCGACAGTCCGATGTTTGTTGCAGACCTATCCTTCTCATGTGGTTGCCCAGCCGGCAGTGTCCTGTCATCAGTCTCCTACTCTCCTACTCCATTCTCAGATCTGAGCAGAGGCGTTCATGGAAGGGTTGTTTATAAACGCCTTCGAATGGGTTATCCCTGGGGTATCTCTCCAGTTCGTGAGTGTTGCACCCTCCGTCCATTTTGAGATAACTCCTTTGGCAGTGCTTTTTGCAATGCCCAGGAATGGTTCTGGTCCTATGAACACAGATTCGGTTCCTCTTTTAGCAAGTGCGTCGGCTTTTTCATTGCCCTCCACACCACTGTGTCCCGGAACCCAGATCAAAGTAACTTTGTTCCGTTCACCGAGACACTCTAGGGTATTTATACAGTTCCAAACCAGCTTTGAGTCAACTCGATTGGAGCTCAGGGCCTTAAGGGCTGCCTGGTTATCTGAAAAGATCTTTATAGTCTTGTTTGCGGGGAGCAAATTATTCAACTCTCTCGCTCCCAATTCTATCATTTCTGCTTGGAAGATCGTGGCCAGAGAGCCTAGGTTTATTGATATGTCAACTCTATACATAAGTGGTAAAATTTTACCAAGATTCCAAGCACTTTTTTAACATAATATTCAAACGCATTGTACGATAGTTACGATAGTATCAAAGTACGCTCTTAAGTCCAAATTTAACTGACATTTCTGTTTTGTTTTTTACTCTATAAACTCATTACCACATATTTACGGAATATATCATGGCTGTTACTATAAGAACGTTTGTGTTATCAACATTTTTATCAGAGTTTTGATGACCATTGTATAGTTTTGGAAAAATAACTTTTATTGGCAAAATACTTTTTATTTTCTATTTGAACAATTCTGACAAGGTATCTTTATTTAAGTTGCTGACGTATTTGAGTATCTAGAACCAACTGTTAACAATCTTTTATAACAAATGTTTCTAAATAAATCGAACACACGAACCCTATAATTGTTACTGCCATTGAAGATTATAACGAATAATAAAAAACAAATGAAACAGTTATTTATTTATTCCATTCATTACGGTTATAAGTAACCCCTTGATAAATTGAATATTTATTTTCCATTCGGCAATAAGCAAATTCTGTTATTCTGCATTGTTAAAATGGCTCTCTTTTCATTGACCATAAAGTTACGGATTCTTTGAAAACTTTCATAAATTCCCAGCAAAATTTTCTCATTAATAATGTATAAATTCATTTTCAAACCAACTGCGGCCTTAAATCTACAAAGCACAATGTACATTCGAAATCTTGTTAAATCCATAAAATCCTCGTAAAACAACAGTGCACTTTGGTTAGACCATTCAATATATACATATTTATGAGTTATCTATATTTTGATCCTATTGAAGTGCCTTTTGGTTAAAGGATTTTTATTTTTATGATATTATGATTTTGTTTATTAATAAATAACATTTTTGATAATACATAATAATTGAAAGATGATTATCTTGTTTGTGTATACAGAAATACCTTTAAAGGGAAAAGAGAAGTCTGAACAAGTCTTCTCAGAAAAAGACAGAATAGAATTCTAATTATTTAGCAACTACTTAATTAACTAATTAAAACAGCAACCTAAAAAGTTTTTATACAAAAAAAAAAAGATTACTAATACTATAAATAACATTAGATACGTGTGTAATTCGAAATGTTATTTATAAAATATTTGAACCAATATTTAAGACAAAACTGATTGAGAGGCAATTATATTATTACACCATATTGTGTAAAAGAAAATTTCAACAGAGAAAATAAATATAAAAATTAGTCAGGACAAAAACTTTAATTAATAGAGAAAGTATGACTACATAGTTATTCCTTATTAAAATAATAAAAAAAAAACAGTACTAATAAAACAAAAATAATACTTACATTGTGGTACCAATTATAACTTTCAGCTGGAGGACTTGCTGACGTTTTACATCTTAATGAAACATCGGTACCTTCTTTGACGGGATTTTGTACTTCTATTAATTCAACTGAAACCCTCGGAGGATCTGTAGAAAAATTATGCGTAAGGAATTGATAACTTATTTGATTGTAATATAAAGTCAGTTTTAAACTTATTAAATCACTTTTAAAACGCATCAGAGATAGCCAATAACAGATAATATGTATATATTTAATATGATTGAAGATATATAAAAAATCTAATTGTTTTTTTACCAAAATACTCTTTGATTCCAAATTGCGCTTATATTTTGGTGGATTTGATCCAGATTAACCACTTTGAATACATTTTTTTTATTGTAGAATACCTCACATGGTATATTTATTAATACAACAATATTTTTGCAAGTATCTAAAAATGTTCTATCCACTTTAGCTTTCCAATAAGTTTCACATTATCTAGGAACAGAATAGTCTCGACACTCACGTGATGTACAAGTCATTATTCACGATAATGGTTGGTCAACAATATCCACTCCCAGGTCCTGAAGGATATACCTCTTTCGTCAGTCGTAGATTTACTTTGAACGCCATCAAAATGTCAATAGAGACTAAATTATTCAGAATGCTCACCAAAGCAAATTCACAATAGACAAAGACATTTTATTAATTGAAATAGTTTGGTCAAAGGATCAGGAGCATTGGGAATACAGGATGTCCCAGAAGTAAATAGTTACCGTCAGATAATACTTTTATTACATAGGTAGGGGAAAATATTGACTCCTCACAAATAGTTACAGAAAAACTTTTGTCGAATAATCTGTCCATTCTAAAATACTGGACCTGTCGCAGGATGTTGAGAAACGATTTAGAGACAAATATTCCGTTTGAGGTGGAAGCAGCGCTTCTTAGTTATCAAAGGACGTCTAGAATACTCGAGAGCAAGTCTGAAGCGCCACACATATACAGGGTGATTTGTACAAGGGAATTTAAAATACCTAAATAAATTATTTCAGTTTTTGCGTACTGACCTGTTACGCTAAACTCAAATGAACGATATAACCAGCCTGCGCCACCCGGCTATACTAAGTGCTGTATATGCCAGGACCGTACTTTGTTAAGTTGGTTTAAAAAGTTTTGCGGAATTGTAAGTATATTTTGTGAATATTTTTTAAATATTTTGAAGTTTAAAATACATTTCTTATACCTAGGGAAGTCTAATTAAACCATTACTAAAAGAAATAATAGTACTTTAAAATCACCCTGTATGTAAATAGACTAAGTTGTACAATTTGAGTAGAATTATAGTTGAGATATTGTTTTATTCAAATAAATATTATTAATATAAAATAGTGTAATGAAAATATAAATTAGTATTGTACAAATTAATTACGATAAAAAATAAATTAATGACTCTGTGAAAATAACAGTATAATTACTATAATGCACAAATTAATTTGTTAATTTTCTTGCGTGGCTGCTGTACAATTATTATGAAAATTTAGTAAAATTAAAAAAACAAATAAAGTAAATAATGTTCCAGACAAATCATTTACAATTTTAATTTCGTATATCCGTTAATTTTTATATAAGATTACAAAATCACGGACACGCTGCCGGTTCCCAGTGAAATTTTGAAGGGCGGTTTCATAATAAAATAAATCCGTTAATACGTCGTATCGCGAAAACCCATACAATTTAAACGTAGTGAAAGAAATAAACGGAAAATCCCCGGCGAGCGCTCCCGACCTTTCCGCGTGACAAATGTAAGTTTGGTCCTTCGAGCCGGACGTACCCAAAATGGCCTCCGCGGATAAAGGGATTTACACAAGGTAGGAGATGGAGCGGCTTTTAGTCCCGATTTCGTGCATGACGAGTTCATTAAATGAATTAGACGACTGTAGCGCACTCTGGTAGTTAATCCTCTTGTAGCCGTACGAATTACCAGCCAGCGTTGACTGAAGTAATGCATGGTATTTTGTAGTAGGTACGTTGAGAAACATTTTTGTTAGAACGATTTTCTAGGGTTACAGCGTTGTTTTAATTAATAAATAATTAATTTCGAATAAATACCCAGGCAGCACACATTGATATACTTAACGTATTTTATACGTAATTCTCGTTTATATTTGGTATACGTTTACAGTTTACGATTGTTATACGTACCGTTTTTTAAATGATATATTATACGTTTTTCTTTATACATCCTATGGAAGCTGAATACAATCATCAATGTCTTCGTCCGATAGAAATTTCTCCATCAAACGTTTAAGACGCACCCTTTTACTTTCGACATTGTTCATGGTGCAACAATCGACTAGGCACTGAAAAATGAACAACCGCGCAAGTGTACGGTATCGGAAAAGCTAAAACAAACGAATAGCGACACGATTTTGTTAACATGAGAAGCAAGTGTTCACCACAATTATTATTTGGGCCACGTGGTGCATACTTGCTTCTCAAAAGTAAAAATGGTAAAAAATTACTAAAAACCTAAAACAGTGTAAAATTGGAAAACAACTATTTAAAATGTTAAACAATACATTTTTTACTAATTTAGTAGTTTGGCTCAAAAAAGTTCATTTTTTTACCTCATGATAGCAGTCAACGTGTTAAATTAAATTCATATAAATTTATGTAATATTATAATATGTATTATTCGTTAAAAACTCCCTTTAAATTTCGTCTTGGTTGATTTCTTAAACGTTTTTATACTTTACATTTTTTAACGGATAAATTAAACGTTTATAGATACTAGTTATTGTATATTATACGTTTAAATATAATTTACGTTACCCGTATATTTCCTGTTGCCGATAAACTAGTAGACAGAAGTAAATAATAATAATGTTTATTCATATAAGAAATTTGTTTACAGTAAATACAATAAAACTGGGTAATTCAGAATAAACATAAAAAAAAATCACTTGTAATAGATGTAGATACAATAAAATAAGTTTTATGAACAAGTTAGTATATACATATAACCTCATAGTAGAGAACAGGTCACAATCAGAAGCAAAATAATTTTTGATCAAAATCACAATTTTTAAAAAAAATTTCGCTAAACTGTAGAGAATGTTATTTTCTATGAAATGGCATAAAATTCTGAAAATGTGATAAAATATCACATAGGAGGATTCACTACGACTACGAAGATATATTGAAGTTTGTTGGTAGGTTTTTTATTTTATTTTTATTTAGACACATACAACTTCATTATTTTAAGTCTCTACAGTAAAAAATTTCAGAGGGTGATTCACTAGATCGTTTTATAAAAAAAATATCTTGTGAACATCATATGTCCGGAGTTGCTTTGTTTCTGAAATACAGGGTATTATCTGAAAAATAAAAATTGGATATTTTATTATTATCATAAATATCCTAAAACTGAATTAGTTTAAATTTGCTACAGTTATTTAAAATAATAAGGCGCTTACTTATTCCTAGATTAAAATTGTTGGGTCTTACTGGGCACCACAACCAATTGTATTGAAACCAAAGTTACGCTACTGATTTTTTTGTAACTTCGACATTTTTTCAGATTAAGCAACTGAAACACAACATTTTGATTCCTTTCGTTTTCTTTATATCTAGATTCGTTATCAACTGGATTATTCCTTACGATACTGCACTTGTTATTTATCCAAGTCATTCACATCTACCACAGGAGCCTTCAGATGACCTTAGAAATAAAAAATCTAAATTATTTATATCAGCACTGCAAGCTGGTCAATTTTGAGGTCCTGTACATCTATTTCAACGACTAGGATAGACAATGTTGGGACACTGACGGATAAGAACCCCAAAATGAGCTGGGGCTGAAGAAAACCTTGTAATATTTTCTCATCTTTTTTGGTACCGACGAAGGTAGTGCTATTGTCACTGTAAATTATGTTTGGAAGTCCACGTCTGGCTACAAACCGACGAAGGCACTGTATACAACTCACCGTAGATAATGATTCAACAAGGTCTAAATGTATCGCATAATACACAGCATATGATAATAAAGAAACCCATATTTTAGATGTAGATGCCCTGCAAAGTCAACTTCGGTAACTTCCAATCTAACTACATCTCTGACCCGATCAAATGGTGTCAAGCGCATTACCACTTGAAGAGATATAGACTTTTATATTTTACAAATTCCACATTAGGTAATCACTGACCCAATAGAATGTCTACCATCAAGAATGTAAAACCGCTCACGAAGTATACTTAACAGCCTTTCTGTACCTACGTGGCAAGAATTTTGATATGGTGTAATATTAACTGACTGGATGTTTAGTGTTTACCGGATAGAACTATCGGAAAACGAAAGTCAAACGTGTCAACTGATTTGAGTATTAACCTGGACTATACTTTTGTCAGTAAATGTGTCAAACGATTCAGAATAAAATTTTCAGTATCCATATTCAAGCTTTGCCAGCTTCTTTAGCAGTCAGTGGACCATGCAGTTTTGTATTGACATTTCTTAAATTAAAAGTAAATCTTAAAACCCAAGCAATCATTCTTATGGTTTTACTATGTTGCAAAAAATATGTTGAGTTGTAGAAAGCTGGACCTTTTTCGTTTTCTCCAGATAAATGACAGATTCGTCGCAGTCAATCTTTTCTGTATGCCATTCACTTGGTTCTTCATATAGTCACTCGAGCTCATATTCTGACAAATTTTAGTCGATCTAATGCCTTAAACTTATGTAAATAGAAACCTACATCTAGCGATGCATCAGAAATTTTGACATCAGAAGTGTTTAAACCTCCAAATGAACAATACTTTTACCCGCTTAGACCCAAGTTCTTCCATGAATGATTTTAAAATATACCACCTTTGTGGCCCACAAACTATTTTGAATCCATTTTTCCCTAACAGATTTACTCGCAAAGTTTGAATAAATACATATTCTCCAGTGTGGTTAGTTAATGCTGGCATGTACCCTTCGAATGAATGTTTTTGGTCTTTTATATTAGATAGACTCGGACATATTAATATCAAATGTGCTTATCTAAGTATTTGTCAATCTTTTAATTGATGTTTTAACATTTCTAAATAATTTTTCTTTTAAGAGCGACACCTATATGGGAAAAATATGTATGGTTTCACAATT